TAGTGGAGAAAATCTTTCCTGATTCATTTTTATACCTAAATTTAAAATCTAAATATCTCCCTCTAGGCAAGCCAACAGCCGCTAATATTTTAACCTTGTTAGTTTGGCGGTGAGGGCTTTCTATTGGTGCAAAAATATCTGGTAAATTCAACTTACAGTACAAACACCTCCATCGTTAGATATTCCATTATTTACTAATTCTTCATGCACAACTATCTACTATTCTTCGATTAATTTAATTTTCGAACATTATATACGACTTAATTTTACCTAGTTATGTTCTATTATCATTTTGTAATAGCATATTGAGTACTCAATGAATCTGTGTAATAAGACAGTGGAATTATCAACTACCTTCAAAGTTAAAAGAATCATCAATACTTCAAACTTGAAAAACAATCATCAGGCTTGTATACGATGCTGCAGTAAATGTTTCGATGAGTGATTACAAAATGAAATTTTCGTTGATGATTAGAAGTTATCGAAACTGATCACTGTTAACAAGATGAAATCTAGTACACTATGATTTAATCAGACTAGATTAGTCTCGCTCTTAGCAACTTATTCAACATTAAGATTCTTCTGAATTAAGTAAAAGAATGACATGATCTCGTTTAGTATAAAAATATAGTTACAAAATTATATAGTATGGACGTCTTCTTAAAACTCATAAAAATAATAAAAAATCGAGGAAGTAATGAGAAAATCTACGTTGAATTTAGAAATCAAGGATCAGTAAAATTTAGTATTAGCATATAGAACTTCCACACCACTCAAATACTGTAAAATGTATCGATGCTTGCTCCATGCGCATATTCGCTGACGATCTATGTACAATTATAATTTCACTAATGTGAAAAAACCTACTAAAAATGGTAGAGTACATCAATAGAATTTTGTCAAAATCATTATGACTATGCCAGTTAAATAGAAAAGACTATACGGTAGAAAAAAGACAGCGATACATTTAGATATTTGATATATTTGTGAACGGATAAATTATTCTTCTCGCTAACGGTCAAACATTGTATAGAGAAGATTCACAAGTCATATACCAAATGGAGGTGGACGCAGATAAATAGAGTGGTTACGACTAATGTATTGACATCATACTTTTGTGTAGCTTTTTTTCCTCTTTCTCTTTCTACTTATCTCTCACTAAACGGTTCTAGAACGTAAGTTCAGAGTAGATTTAAGGTTAGTACATAGATATTTTGCTATAATGGTGCATTATATTATATCAATAATCAAGGGACATAAACTAGTCTCGTACGTTTCAAGATGTATACAAAAACTTATTAGCAGAATATTCCGTTCTAATCTAAGTGAATCTTTAGTTTATAATGATCTTGTGCACTGTGGTGCCTTTGTAAATAAGGAAAACAAACAATAAACTCCTCATTCATTGGTAATATTCTTTTTGATTAATACACAGAGATTCTTTTTTGTTCATTTAGTAAGGTAGGACAAGACCAAGATATGATTCTCCCCGTCTGCCTATGTATCGCTGTTTTATCGTATTTACCTTTTCCATTTTTTTGAAATTTTTTTCTTCGTGCTTACTATAGTCTATTTCAGAGTTATATGACCGTGGCCATTTTTCGAATGACTTTCGATTCTCAAAAGCTATCGAGCTCGGGATTTTGTCATTGGAAAGAAGAAGCTTCGAGGCGTCTTTTTGTACGATTGTGTCAAGACCAAAGACACTTTTTCCGACCGACCATAAATTGATGCCTTTTTGTTGCGTTTTTTCAATGAATTTTCTCGATATTTTAACTTCAAACTACACCAACTTGTAGTCCTAATCTCGCTGTATATGTAGCAAAAACTCGATATCTTCGTGTCGTCTTTTCTATCTCTTTTTTCCAATAAGATTATTTTGTTGTATGACGATGTTATCGTGCACATAGCGGCATTTGGACTATAAGTTGGTGTAGTTTGAAGTCAAAATATCGAAAAAATTCAGTGAAAAAATGCAACAACAAGGTATTAATAGATGCTTGGTAGGAAAAATGTCTTTAGTCTTGGCATGATCGTACAAAAATACGTTTTGGAGCTTCCTCTTTCCAATGGCAAAATCCAGAGTCCGATAGTCTTTGCGGATCGAAAATTATTCAAAAAATGGTCACAGCCATTTAACTCTGAAATGGACTCTAGTATGACAGTAAAAATTGATCTATGTTGTAAGAAAAATTCATTTGAAAATCGCCATAGTAAAGGACATTATATAGTCTCGGTCCCATTAAAATTTGTTTTGGTTCCAGACCCGACCCCAATGAAACATAAATTTTTGGTTTGAGTTCCGGTCCACGACGTCATGAGTGTGATCGAAACTGGTCTCACACATCTCTACTTAAGTTACTTGAGAATCAAGTAAAGTCCGAACCCAAATATCAGCCCAAATCCTATATATCAAATCCAAATCCTAAGCACTAAGCCCAAACCCAAATCTGTAACAAGTCCAAACAATTTCATATCGATTTTTAAGGCTCTGTACTTATTTCATCCATACACACCCACACCACCCACACCCTAATTCTATCTCTAATGTAAATGAAAATTTCAAACATTCATCAGAAGCGAGTTTAGTCGAATAAAAAAAAGCTATCGATTCGATTTTATAACTGATTTAGAGTTTTCATGTAAGTACAGTAGAAAGGCAGAAAAATAGTTTATTCCAATGAGAATACAAAAAAAGAGAGCATGAGCCAAGGCGATTTGATGGTTCTTTGCTTTGACAAATTTGGAGAAGATCGACTAGAATGATGAATAAGTTAACTAAAACAAAAAAAAACAATAACATAAAGACCTGCGGCAAATATCATTGATAAGACGATGGAATGGCTAAGATCTACAGCACACTAGCAATTTCAAGCAAACAAAAACTTTGCATTATACAGTTTCTCAAAGAAAAAAGCGATTTGTATCTAACAGAGGTATCAGAAATGGCTATTCTTCGAGCCTGATCTGTGTGAAAGAGCAACGGACCAGATGAAAAGATAAAAGGATACGACTTAGCAAAAGAAAAAAAAAGAAAATATTTCAAGTAATCCAAAACTTACTGGCCAGATGATATATCATTCAGATTGTACGGAAAAATAGCCATATTACCGTCCTTATCAATATATATCGATGGAATATTAAATCGTTTAAATAATATACCAATCACGAACTGTTCAGAGGAAGCAAGTAAACGAGCATCAATTACAATATTTTCGCATGTCTGTTGAGAATGAAAATATTTACTTAATGAATGATACAATCCCATCATCGAACGTTGAATATCATTGAAGACAATCTGATTCAAAAGTGCTGCTTGTGAAAGTTCATGATAAAATTCATGATCATTTAATAACATTTGCATCGGCTTGTCTATGACGCTTGTAGAAATCGGAGATGAATGTGAAGTAGACGATGATGATCGGGATTTTATTCGTTCACGAATAAATTCAATTGCACCTCGTAGATTAAATCGATGAGTAGCCTTCAAAAGTTCACTGGTTAAATAAGTTATTTGTCGTTGTCGATCAGCATCAATGGTAATAAATTCACGTTGCATCTCTAATTTATGCATACTATGATAACTTTTAAGTGTGGTGATACACCCCATGTGCTTGATTGCGGTCAAACTGCATCGCAATTGCTAACAGAGATGCTATAGATGAGGTTTTCATTTTATTAATATCTATATTGAGAATTAAAAAAATTTCAAACATTAAAAAAATCGACAAACTAAAAAAAAACAAAAAGAAAATGACAGTATTAATAAAAAATTAAAAGTTAAAAAAGTTAAATTTAAAAAAAATAAGAGAAATAAAAAAATTGAAAAATTATCTGTAAATTATCTATTCTACCTTTCGTGGTAGAATGAGTTATGAGCCGAAGTGTCATGGACACTGCCTTTTATAGTGTCTTTATCTGACTAAGTTTTACTGCTGGAGTGTAGCCAATTACAAATAAGGAAGAGTGATTTATGATTGGTCGGCGCTAGTTACAGTGGATTGTATGATACGGTTACTGCGACGCAGTTACGCTGATCTGCGTCACAGTAACCGTAGTTTCTGACAGAGATTTTCACTGCGATCAATGCGTCGCAGTTACGCGCAGCTGCGATAAAAATTTCGCAGTTCCGCGCAACTGCGACGCAGCTGGTAAAAAAAAGGCGGCATGGGATGTCATAGCTTGAATATTGAATGTCATGCACATAGACGAAACATATTCAACAAGTAGATGACCGTATTGTTCAAATTCCACCGGTAATTTTGGTGGTATGAAACTGAATTGAATAGGAGGTTTGGACAATGATGAATGTGATCGAATAGATAATAGATGACATGCAATACCAACCGATGATAACCTGCATTTTAACATCGACCACGAATATAGTCGCCAAAGAACACGAGATAAACAATACATAGTAGGAAATAATCTACAACAAAATGCTAATTACAATCAATGAAAAGAAAGAATTCTATTTGCTTCGTCGACTGAAAAGAAGGATCATACACATACGAAATAAAATCCATATGAATGTATATGTTTGTCCGATTCCTGATTGCATGTTAGCGACCAACCAATAAGAAGTTACTTCGTGAAAGGGTACGATAGAGGACTTTCCGTGCTGAGCGAGACTCACAATCTGCAATTAAAGCTTGATCAAAGGTAGTTGAAGGTTAGAAACTCGAATCCAATGCAATGAGTTAATATCAGTTGTACTGTTGCATAGATGTCGACACATTCTAGATGATGGCTGAATATGTTAGTATTGAAAATCATTATTTTGAGTAAAACCAGATGCTAATACATAAAGGTAGTTGTGAAGTCGTACGGTACGGAAGGAATCAGACTGTCGTTGAAAATATTTAATTTCAAAGAGACGAGGCAACGAATGACGTTTGCTTTATACCGACAAACAATTGATACTAATCGTCTGTTAGAAAATTCATTTAGTCAATAGAAACGGTGATCAATATCGATTACGACATGTGCAATGACTGTAAAATCAATACATGTCGCGATGAATATCTGGGGCATTGCCTGCTATCAAAATAAATGTTTTCATTTTAAAACTTTCTGATGGTGAATTTCAGAATGGATTCATATAGTGATAAAAGCCGTGTGCTGATGGTGGAAAATATCGATCGCTGATAGGTAGTGGCTTTTCAACAAAGAAAAAGACCAGAGAAGCAAAACAATCTGAAGGAAAATTAGTTAAACAAACCCATGACATCTTTTTGAGATAGATGAAAATGGAGATAGTGCTCGCTCAATAACAAGAGTGGTAAACGTAATAGTTAAATCGAAAAATCATCCTTTTATCAATCATGTTTCCCTAAATGATGTCACTAGTCGAGTTTCACTGGAAATCACTGAAAACTCTATATTGATAAACTATTAATGGATAAAGATAACTTCGTATAGCAATATTTGATTACCATTCCCATGTTTTATAACCATAATCAAAAGCAAGTGAATGAGTTACTTCAAATGTTGGTCAATATTCATCAGCAATAAGATATGTGCGTACAATAAACCAAGAGATTAAACGAAAAAGAATGCTAACTAAAATATTTTGTGTTTTATTTAATAACATCTGCAAAATCAAAATTGATTTTTAATTATAAATTGTATCAGCTGAAAGAATGGTTTTTTCTTCTTTTTTTTGCTCTATTGACAAGTCGAATGAGACATTGTTTTGTATGTTTTCTTAGATGGCACGAAGAGTAAAAAAAGAAATATTTCGATCTTATACTAACAGACAATCATCTGACAACAACAAAAATAATAATAACAATACACGGAAAGAAAGAGAATACAGAAATTATGCTTTAGCAGCTTGTAATGGATCAACACGAATTCTGAAAAATCAATATTATTATCAAGTTCTTCATCTATTTCATCAATTAATGCAGCACTATCACCACGTACTATATAAAGACCAAGAAGAATTTGTCCAACACCGTTTGTTGAAGAAAATACACGTTCATGACTATCATCTAAGATAATATTTATTGCTTGATCAAATCCATGTAATGTTCCAATTATAATTCGTCCATCAGATGTAACTATACGTACTAATTTATTGATATATGCATTAAGTACTTGGACCATTTTGTTGTTATTATTCTCGTTGAATATGTTCGATCTGAAATGAAATAATTTCGAACAAACAATAAGTTTTGTAAGAAAGAACAAGACAAGTTTATTCAATTCGTCATCATGAATGGTCGATCCTCATTTGGTGTAAAATATGGTTAACCAATAATGATAAACTTTTTTAAATCTAAATATTGCATAAAAGGAAAAAATTCAAAAAACAGCGTTTGAATTTCTCACTTTGGCTTGAAGACTTCATTGGTATAATGCAAAATTAAGTTATCCAAAAGAGGTGGCTAGCAAGTTGCTTAGAATTTTTAATAGCATGTCTGCTGGTTTTCTGTCATTTATATCTGCTTGCTTCGAATGTAAATTCATTACCGATCTTGTTATATGATGAGGAAAACATCGCATTGACGCATGAGTGCTTCCTCTGAACAGAGGCATGAGTCTTTCTAATTATTGTGGATTACCCGTTTTAAAGAGTGAAAAGAGTGTTTTTGAGAAATTTTTGGATACCTCATGGAACTCTCTTTCGGATGTTCAAGTTTTCACACGGACTTACGAGGGAACATATTCAACTGTCGGACGCCGTTCAATCCCATATTTTGGCTATGAGTAGCACTCAGTGATACTAAGAAAATCCTAAAAAGATTTAGGCCCTTGACCAAGAGTTATGATCGTTTTAATCGAAAAAAGTTCTGTTTTTCTCGTTTTTCAAATCTAGTTGACTGATGCATACGATCAATTCTCACGTTATCTATCATAAAAATATAAAACTCGTATAACAGCAAAAATTGACTTGCAATTAAACAATTATTAGATATACAAAGTAATTTAATTAAAACACTTACGAGGGAGGTACCCGAAGTGATTAATCGGTTTTGAGTTCAAACTCTGTGCACAAGGTAGATCCCAGTAAGGTGCGAAAAAATTCAAAAGGATAAGGGCCCATAGGCCTTTCCTCCAGAGTTATAGTCATTTTACTGGAATTTTAGCCTATAGCATGGTATATACTAGCAAATCGAATGACGATATTTCGGTCTGAAATCTTACCTACAGATAGGTCTCCTTGTAACTAGAATGCCCTGAAATTTTCAGCTAAAAGATATGTTTTCTTCATGAGATATCAAATCTCCAAAAATCAATCATATTTCATGAAAGCTGTGAGAGGCTCCTGTATNAGCTGGAATTTTCAGAGCACGTTAGTTACAAGTAGACCTATTCGTAGACGAAATTTCAGATCGAAATATCGTCATTCGATTTGTTAGCGTATACTATGCTATAGGCGAAAATTCCAGTAAAATGGCTATAACTCTGAACGAAAGGTCTATGGGCCCTTATCTTTTTGGGGTTTTTCATATCTTACTGGGATCTACCTTATGCACAGAGTTCGAACTCAAAATCGATTAATCACTTCGGATACCTCCCTCGTTAGCTATAAATAGATTATTTTAAATATGTTTTATTCCCTTGATTGTAGTCTGGGTCTTAATCCCTCGATTGACTGTTTGTTTGTTTGCCCGCAACGTAACCGTTATTTGGATCACCATTTTCTCATCAATTTTTCGAAATTTTGAGATAGACTTTTTTAGTAAAAACAAGTTTTTTACTTAAAAAATTTTTCTTTTCATAAAAAACTCAATAAATTTCAAAAATATTTTTTCACAGAAAATTAATTTTTTCATAAGAAAGGAGATGTATCAAATTACGTACTTTTCGGCCCAAAAAAATCAAACCTAATTTTTATTATCCTAAGAATCAGTGTTCATCACTGATCGTATTAATAGGCCTTCGGCCATTAATTCTTCAAAATAAACAAGGTAGAAGAAAAAAACAATTATTAATTTCTTTTTGTTGTCCTTCATAGAATGAAACGAAAAAAATAGATGTTATTCATTTCTGCTTTGACCCTAGTTAATAAAAAATATCTTATTACTTATTGTTCTCTTTCTTCCTTGATATGAAAATAATCATGGAGTTATGTGCGACGAAAATCAGAGAACAGAAAGGATATGCATGCGAATAATGCAACGAAGATATGTGTAACTAAGTAATCAGTAGTATAAGAAGAAATGAAAAAAATTAGTCAAGCAGAAAAAGAAGAAAAAAAAATCAAAATAAATTACAACGTCATAGCGGAGAACATTAAGGCGGACAGAAGGGTACACTACCTCAGCTCAGTTACTGTGGGTGAGAAACAGGCACCTGAATGGTAGAAAACTTTGTACAGTGAAGGGACCCAGTGGATCGCCTCGATCCACGCTAGTTGTGTATTTTTTATATAATTTATCCCAAGGAGGAAACATCGTACTTTTGTACTTTAAAGTACGTTAAAGTACATTAAAGTACTTTGAAGTACATAAAAAGGGTTCATTCTTTTATACAATTTTCTATAAAACAATCATTTAACATTATTCAGATCTTATAACCGATCCTTGGTTAAATATATATGATAAATGTATATGGTTATGTATCGAAGATCTTTATATATGTATTGCTCATTATAATTGACATTATGGTGGTTTTTATCATCTTGCACATTTCTTTCATACGAGTGAATATTATTGAAATGATTGTCTTAGCTTAGAATTTCTTCTTGTCGGAATAGCACTTGAATAAAAAAAATTGTTCGTCTTTATCAAGAAAATTCAAAACATAATTTATTTAATGTAAGTTGTAAATAAATCAACTCGTTTATTTCTTGATCTTCTTCTTCATTTTGATGAATATTTATTTATATTATTTGAAGTTCTTCGACAATTATTAGATAGACCAGATCTTGACAAGTAAAGTTTTACTTTTAGAAAAAAACAAGAAATAGATCGAAGTTTTAAACAATTAAAAAAAGATTTATTCGTTTTTCTTTTTTCTATTATTTAAATGTTTTTTTTTGTCATGTTAGGTTTTACTTAAAACACATGATGTATACTTAAATTAAGATTATCCAGAATGCAAAAACCATAATGCATGTTATTAAACAAAATAACACGAAATGAGAACGATATTAACAGTGATAGTGCAATCGCTAAAGAATGAAAAAATAATGTATCTGCTGTTTAGAGCATATCGGCTCGAATTTGACAGTTGCTAATCTAAAAGTAAAAGTTACATTCTTATACAATCATCGTCAAGATGCCCTGAGAAATGTGTAGGGTATGCCAGTTGCTGAATTTAAATAAGCGAAAAAGATATCTCGTATTTTTGGAGCGACTATCGAGATGAATTAAGAAATTATATTGGGAATATAATGTGTATGCATCCGAAACAGTTGAATCCGATGAGTTCTACTGCTGTTGCTAATTACAGAATGATAGTTTTATTCCATCTATTTTGAAATTAATTGCGTGACCATCCTTTTACTTGAGATTGTATATCCAAAGTGTCTGTCTCATCTGTAGAGAAGGGGGTTGGTCCAAATTTCTACTCTTATACTTCAACACTCCTTTTTAGATCGTGTTTCACAAAAATAAGACCGCATGAAATCCATCGTTTTGTAGTTTTCTGAGCTACTAGTACTACTGGGTGGCATCCAGATTAAATGACGATGTCAATATCTCCTTCAGTTTTCATTTGAACTTCTTTTCAAAAAATTCTCCGTTTAATTCTCTATTAAAATACACAAGGACGTTTGACCTCAAGTTCAGAGAAGGAACATTTTTCCAAACAATACTGTGAAGCTCCGATATGTCCAACTTTCTAAACCTCTTTTCTGAGAAAAAATTTGAATAGTTTTCTAAGATTGTAAACATCAGAAATCGCTAAGACAACTTTGTTTTCATACAATAAAAGGTACTTTTTCTCGTTCTATAGAATAAAGTCTATTTCAACCACATATTGTGACTGAATAACTAATTTCTTCAAACTGAGTTGGCAATAGTCGAAATTTAGTTAATTGTAATTTTATCATTTCGAAAAAAATTCATCGTTTTTGTTCTACTTTAACGAATTTTTCTAAATGTCTGCAATTGTTCATACCTAATAGTGATTTTTGGAAAATTTCATAAAAATAAAATTCATTTTCCTATAGTTGATAATCTTGATTTGGAAAATTTTGATCTGCATCTGAAAGATAAAGTTTTTCAAAACCTACAAAGTGGCTAATTTGATTTTTTGATTCCTCAAAATACTGAGTCTTATTTGATCAAATTTTCTAACCCGAAATTGACATCAAACGTTGTTTTATATTTTTAAAGAGAGTTGAACGAGCAGGTTTTTGAAAAAAGTTCAAATGCAAGCGATGAAAACTGAAGGAGATTTTGACAAAATACTGACACTGCCATTTAATCTGGACTACCCGGTATATATATATAACGAGTTGTGTTAATTGAAAACGATGTACGTAACAAAAGTACATCAGTTTTTGCTTGATTCATCAATCATATAGGTTTACAACTCTTAGAAAAGATTCTGACAAAAGATAATATAATATAGATAGATTTCGGACGTGGGTGTGGGTCTGAAATTTGATATTGGTTTGAAAGAACAAGTGCATTCACATCGTTACTTCATGCTTTCATCCACACCCACATCCTAGAAAACAATGTGAAACTGAAAGATGTATCTTACTTTTTAGAGAAAATATCATTTCTCAAAAATGAACCTGTAATTATGTTACAATTGTTTTTCAGTTTTCTCCACTGTTTATTTTTACTTCCGATAAAAAAATGAAAGAAACAACCAGAGTATTAGCTAATCCTTCAACAGTATCACATACCCGAACTAGTAGTAGGTCTATATCATTTGTTGTTAAAACAAAAATAAGCATTTTTGTATGCATGTATATAGGGGTGTCACTTTTGCGTTCCTTTCCTGGAAGCGGAAACACGACATGCATTTCCGTTACTGATGTCGGAGCGAGACTTTAAGGTACTCGGTTAAAAATTGAATAACTCGAGAATGCAAGCAACTAGCGATCTGTGGTTTTCAGCAATCGAAAGAGGCTGTGTCTTCATATAATGTTATACAAGATAAAATTGTCACCAAGCCAAGCATTTTTGTAAATCTTTCCAACA